AATGGCTACTCACAGTAGCATTGTCTGGCAGTTTCTTTAGCACCGATGCTTGTTTTCATAGGTGAAGTCCAAGCATTAGTTAAACGTTGAAAAGTACGAAAGGCAATACTTTGACATATGTGCATATACAAGCCAAATTGAAAATTATTAGTCATGTAACGCATTCTGTTTTCAACTTTAGGCTCTGCCTACAGTTGAATATTACAATAAGATCAGGGGCTCTCTAAAAAAAACACACACACAAGTCTACTATGGTGACAAATGTGCAGTTGGTTTGGAATAACTGAAGGCTGCCATGGATGTGTTGTACTCGAGTTTGGATGTCGAGCCATTTGCAAATCGACTCTGGTGGCTGTCCGCTAATATTTATACTCGACGTTATTACCAAAGCCCGATGCCTGCTGCAAAAGCATGGAGGACCTAGATAACGGCTCAAACAACGTACACCGCAAAGAGAGCTTGTTGTGTGTGTCTGCGTCTGCGTCGTAGCCTCAATCTCAAGTTTTTCTAATCACAAGTAACAGTGGCGTACCATGATCGGCATGGACCCTGATGCAAGGAAATAAATTGGGCCCCATGTCCAATATTCACTCCGCCAACCCCCCTCCCCTTTCTGAAGCCCGGCGCCTGAGCCTCTCTGACCCGTGGGCCCTTGTACTTAGACAACTGGCCTGTAACATTTTGATTTAAAGCTTTCGTGACTGCAGGGATTCATATTCTTGTTTCTTTCGGTAAAGTCCACGTAGAAGGGAAACAATAAAAATAATAAAAATATAAAATAATAAAATTCTCACGACGTTTCGACTGCAACACAAGCAATCATCATCAGGTGTGAAAAACACAAGAAAATTTGAAAAAAGTGGCGGTTATTTTAACATTAGCACCACGGATGCTAACGTTAAAAATACCACCACTTTTTTCAAATTTACTCGTGTGGTTTTCACACCTGATGATGATTGCTTGTGTTACAGTCGAAACGTCGTGAGAATTTTATTGTTTTATATTTTTTATTATTTTATTGTTTCCCTTCTACGTGACTTTACCGAAAGAAACAAGAATATGGCCTGTAACAGTTGAAATAATGGCACTGGCCATTCTTACATCTTGCCTTGTAACTACATTAAAATAAAGTAGCCTTTTGCCCATCCAAGGGCGGGTGTATATTGCAGTAAATCTGTAACATTGAATAGAAAAATTGTTCAGCTCATGATTATTAATGAGGGGAGGGGTGCGGCATGTGGAGTGCGCGACCTTCTTGTACGTCAGTGTAAATTTCCACGCGGGCATGAATATTAATGAAGGGGGGGGGGCTCTTTTGCAGTGACGTCACGTACGGATGTAGCACTGTGCTGCTTAGATAATTTTTTACCGTCACTTTCTGTGAAGAAACGTCATTTGAAGCGACTTTGCGTAATTAATTATTTAATTCAGCTCGACCTTCCTCTGCGTTGGTGTAAAAATCCACCCACTCATGAATATTAATGAGGGGGGTGGGCCTCATGTAGTGTGACGCAATTGTTTGCACCTGATGACGATTGCTCGTGTTGCGATCGAAACGTCGTGATATTTTTTTTCTATCTACGTGGCTTTACCGAAAGATCCAAAGAATATAATAGTAATTGCTTAACGTCGCAAGGTCCACCCAATAATGGTTTACTTCTCAAAAGGGAAATAATACAAAGGGCATTTCACCTAGCTAAATTGTGAATATTAAGCATCCACTGATGGATGAAGGCCTTCCCACACCATGTTGATCATGGGGTTTAGTTGACCGTACTTAACCACGCTAATCATTGCGGGTTGATGATGGGGAGACGGGGGGGGAGATGACCGGTTAAGATAAAATTCGCCACTGTTAGCCCTTGCTGGGAATCAAATTGAGGTCGCCGGGTTAAGGGTGCAATGTTCGAGCTACTCCACTGCCATCGTGTAATGAACTAAACACTGTGCCACCGCTCTAACCCGATCTCGCTGAATAGAGGGCAATTAAATGGGATTAATCGGTATCAATAAATATGTCCGCGTATACGTGCATGATGTATGTGTGTATGGTCACTAACAGCACTTGCCCCAACAGTCTGTTAAGGCTATATGGGGGGGGGAATTTGTATGGTCAACTCGGCCTCAAATGCTGTGGCGTTTAAACATCGCGACTAAGGAGACAAAGGAGGCCAAGCGTGGTGCTGGCCACCCATCCCCTCGTGTGCGGTGCTGGCCTTTATAGGTGCTTGCTAACAGCACTTGCCCTAACAGTTTGTTAAAGGCTATACGGGGCATCTTTGTGTGTACCAAATGCTGTGCAGAAGCTATCTCGCCTGTCTAATCATACAAAGCTCCAGGTCTTCTCGCTCACAGTTACGCTCTTCCATTCTCTCTGTTTGCAAAACCAGAACACCCCTGAATTAACATCTGCACCGGTTTAAACAATCAGGCTGGCCTGTCTATGATCCATCCTGGGTTTAACCAGGCTGGATTGTGTGAGGAGCTCGCAGATCCTTGAAAGATCTGGACACAGTCCTATCAGTGAGCTCTTCCGGCAGGCGAGGCTGCGTTGGCAGGGTCATGTATCCCACATGTCCAAGCAGCTTCTGTTTGACCGGATAGAGGAGGTACGGGCTACCGAAGAGAAGTGATGAAGTGGTACAGGAGGATATGGAGCTGAGTGGACTTGCCAATGACCGGTACCAGCGGTGGCAGGATTTGCCTCTGTGGACGAGGCTTGTAGAGGAGGCTGCTACTGGGCAGTTGGAGGCAGTCGCCCTCCAACAACAGTGGAGGGTAGAGGAGCTACGCTCACAACAGTGTGCGAAGCGCTGGGCGGATAGAACGCAGCACGTTGGCGCCGTAGGGAGGCACAGGTGGTGCATCGGCAAGTCATCTCGGTCAACCCATGGCACCAGGGGTCGAGCCCCATGGCGAGTCGTTGACACTCCACGTGGCTTCAAAGTGCACCTCGCCTGGCTGCGGCTGTTGATGTCCGTGTGTCCGTGGAGGGGTAGTGGAGCGGCAAGCGCGCTGCGCTGCGGCAACATAGCAGTGACGGATGTTTTAAACGGCCCCGGGTCTCCCCTAGGTCGACTCAGCCTCGGACGAATGCCTGTCGCGACAAGTAAATGGCAGCACTGGGGAGACAAAGGCGGCCGGGCGTGGTTGCTGGCCACCCACCCCCCATCGTGTGCCGTGCCGGCCGTCATAGGTGCTCGCTAACAACGCTCGCCACCAACAGTCTTGTCAAGGCTGCACGGGGGATATTTGTCCCTGTAAGTGTGCGTGTCTCTGTGTTCGTGCGTGCGTGTGCGGTGTGTTCGTGTGTGTGTGTGATTCACCCCATGCGCGAATGTGCGTGCGGGTAACCCAATGCAGGCTTCATGCTGCCGAATCCACTCCGGGTGGTCCAGAGCAGCCACGCAGATCTTTTGGGGAGCACGGAGTATTGCTGCGGCATATTTAATTACGACGCATTGTTCAATTTTAGAAGCGCGCTCGCTGGTAATGGTAAATTAAGATTGAGGGTTCCTTACTCGAGAGCGTGAACTTTAGCAACGCAGCTTTGTGTTTACTGCGCCTTTTGCACATCAGCGTTTGTGAATCTTGTCCAGCAGTGCTGTTTTTTGTGAGCACCCCTGAAATGCATCAGCCATTGATATACTGTATGTGCACTTAAATTTAATAGAAGGGCCAAAGTACAGAGAATTTTACCTTGGGGTCAACGCTGATTCCGAGGAGTGAATGGACTGTTGCGCTGCAGGATCTTGAAAGGTGGTGGCGACTTGGGGAGACCTTCATCCAGCGGTGGATTCTTCTATCGTACGGCTGATGTAGACGCAGAGCAACCGCGTCAGGAGTGGCGGAGTGTATCGCTGTGAGGTCTCCTTCGTATTTGTGGATCGGGCATTGCATCGTTCTGTGTAGTGTGGTATGTTCTGGATGACCACAGTCGCACACTGGAGAGTTTTATTTATCTATTTTCAATTTGTGCATCAGGTATCCGCATCTGCCATGGTTTGTGTGAATGCGGTTTAGGGTCGACCGTGGGCGTCGTGGAAGGTCAAACCCAGGGATCTTCTGCATTGGGTCTTTCACAAGGTGTTTGTGAGTTCTTTTGAACTCCATTCCAGCAGTGGATTGACCACGGTTGATGATTATGCAAATCTAACTCCATTATACATGGTGCCAGGTTTACAACCATGAGTTATGTATTGTCGTAGCTTGTAGTTTATGTAACTTGACATTACAATGTGACTCACTAAATTATTTGTTATTAACCGTTCTTTAAGATGAAGGTAGCTCACTTGGTATGCACATTGGGTATAGGCAGAAATTATATAGGTAATGACTCATTTTGTAATCGTGGATGCTCTTTTCGCATCACACTTTGTTTCTAAATTTAATAAAGCATGCTCTAATGCTACGAATGAAATACAATTCTAAGCTCTCCCTGCATGTTGGAGGTATTAATGTGTGAACTTGTTCTTTATGGCTAAGATATGTCAAAGGGAAGTGTCGTTCTGTATCTGCTCTAACGATTTTCCAAACCCCCTTCTTCCAGAACTAACAGTATGCTGTACTTATTTAAACAAACCAAAACCTTAAACTGGAAATTCGCTGGCGCTGCTATCAATTCATGCCCAGTGTCAGCGCAGGCGTGCTGGGTTTACGAAACAACTTTAACACATTCGAATAAATATATGATTCCTATGATGTCCTATCCCCAATTCCAGGGATTGATGAGGAGCGGCCACATTCTAACCTTGTCTTCCCACAGATCGATGCCACCGCACGCACACGCTCATGCCACATTCAACCTGCTGTGTTTACCGTATTAGTCACTCTGTAACCCGATGCCGTAATGTACTTGTGCGCGGCCCACGGGAAGTGCGATTCTTTGTTAAATGACGGGCGGGCGATCTGTTTTGTCCTGAGCTCCGGGACTTGGCGTAGTCTCAACCCCCACGATTTGTATTCTAAAGTCGGGCACACTCTCTGTTTTTGCTCCGCAGCCCCTGTTGGAAGATGAGGAGGAAGAGGAGGGGAATGAGGATGGGAGACAAGCCCTGGCGCGTCTTAACTCCACATCGGCTACAATCCCCCCCTCCCTCTCCCACACTGCTCCACGAGGCGGAAAGAAAAGGGAATAAAGTCTAATTAAAATTTACAGCTTGTGCTACCTACACACTCGACCACGGAATCCTCATTAGAAGCGAGGCACGTACCCGGCAGAATTGAATGCGGCCCGAAACAATTGCAGATGGCACGGGGAACATTTGTTGGAGAGGCCCCGGAGAAAAAAGGGACGTGAAAATTGTAATTGTGCACGTCATTTGCCCCGCGCATTGCTCAATAATTCGGGAAATTAAAGCAGCCATAGGAATGGAGCCCTCGTGAAATCGAGTGGGATTCGTCTGGTCTGATGTAGTTGGCAAGAGGGTAGTCGGGAATGAATAATTAGGGCTGACAGCTTTTAGCGCTTGCCGTTTCTCTAACTCATTTTGGCGAATGTTTAGTTACGGATTTTTTGTGTGTGTGGAAACTGAAATCATAAGAAAAAAAAAGGCCGTCTGGGGAGAATTGGGAAATCGTGACTAAATGTAGGCTGCGTGCAACGACGATGATGCACTTTAAGATTTTTAAAATGAGGTTGCTATGTCCCTGCGTGAAACGTGGTGCGTGTGGTATGCGCGCGAGGCATTTCCAAGTTATACATTTTGTGTACAAGACGCATTGTGACCTGTAATGTTTTATCTGCTGTGACATTCTCGTGTGCACACACACATACCAGAGGGGGGGGGGGGCGGGGGCACTCACAAAACATTCCTTTTTTTAAATGAAGTTATTTATTGAGTACGAATTGCCCCATACATTTGCCGACAAAACACAGCTCTATCCATTACATAGAAAGTGTTTAAAATGAAAGAAACTAAAGCAAAATAGCAAGACAAATGCCTCAAATATTGCAATAATTTAGAAACATGAACAATAACCATACGATTTTGTACAAATCAAAAACATTTAGGACTCATTTAACTAAATAATTTTTTTACAAACATATGCTGCTTGAATATGGAGAAAGGAAATACTTCATGGAACATTTAGGTGACAATTGTCATGGTTGGTAAAATGGTCCCATAAAAAAAACACACACACAAACGCCCGACACCAAATCTAAGACTATGAAATATGTAGGCACATATTGGCTCTAACTATTCTGTACAAAATATGATACACTGTAGAAAAATTCTATAGCTGTTAGTACTGGAAAAGGATCCTAAATTATTGCTAAGTCAATAGCAAATATCACAAAAAACGATCCTAGACATTATTAAATATATATGATCCATACTTGTAGATTGCTTCTTTAGAAAGTTCGCACTTGTATGGCAACTAAATTTATGTAATTTTATTACACAAAGGATTTTAAAACGTTGGCATCATTTTAGTAATAAGCTCCTCGCCCTCATACACATGCATTGCATCTGTAGAACACGCAAAGGAGTTGAGATTTTGGAGGGAAAAATAGGTTGACGAGTTCCTTTGTAAGAAAAATGAAAATGCACTAAAAGGCACATCTATTGTTGGCTTCTTAGAGAGTCTGTACAATAAACACATCTTTATTTACTCAACATTTCGTTCACTTAGGTAAGGAAGACATGTCTCCTCACAGAGGACTTCTTCAGGTATAAGTCATTGGATGTCAATCAAATTCGTGTCTTTTGTTTTTGCTAAATAATAACAGTAAAGGCTTCGCCAAATAAAATATGCATGAACAGTTCGCAAAACTCATTCCGCACTCTAATAAGGCATCGGCTAAAGCTGAATAGATACCGTAAAAGTGAATCTGCTAATGGGTTTTGTGTCACTCTTAGTTTTACCGTAAACGCCTTTTTTTATAATTCTGCACGCGTCCACGTTCACCTTGCATGTCCGCAAGGTAGGCTAACGTTAGTTAATTACAAAAATATGTCTTTGTTGACGCCTCGAATTTCTTCCCGACGATTAAGGTCACCCACTGCGAACAAACAAACATCGCGTTGCGAATGTAGACCTGCAGTGCATTTACTCAACGGTGCAAGTGAAGCGGACTATGTATTCGGCGTGTTCTGAAACGGCAAAAAAAATGTATTCTGTACTTTATGCATCGTTATTGTTGTTGTTATTTTGATAAAAGCGTACACTACCATGTTGACGTCACCAATGTGTCTACGAAAGCGCGTAACGGTCTTCATTAAAATATACTCTGGAAGGAAGCGCACGTTTTGCTCCCTTAAGCTTTGCCTTCGGCGTCAATGCCCAATTCAGGTGGACCTGCGCACCTGCAAGCAAACGACTCTATCCACACTTAAAACAAATTCACGATTATCCGCAACCTAGCCCCCACCCCCTCCCCCATAACTTTACTTGGGTTTCTATATTTTTTTTTAAAAAAAGTGACCGGGTAGTGGAGGGCAAAGGCTACGGAGGCTTCAGGTCACTAATTTCATTATAGTTTTTTTTTATTATTATTATTAAGGATTGTAGTTTAGAACAATAAGAAAAACCACACAATCACCCCGCCACTTGGACGAGCTGGCACAGAGTTGCATTAATATGGCATTATTAATTATTATTATTATTCACGGCCTCGTTAGCTGGGTGTACACGGGCTGCTCCCAGGACGGGGGGCTGTGCGGCTGGGGGATGGAGGGCACCCCCGTGGCGTCCGCGATGGGAGTGTAAGACGGCCGCTGCGAGGGGCCCATGTATGAGAAGCCGGAGTACAGGCCGGCTGTCTGCCCCGCAGAGTGCCCGCTGTAGTAAGCCGCGGCTGCCGCAGAGCTCTGATGGTGGTGGTGGTGGTGATGGTGGTCCGCGTAGCTGTACTGGGACCTGCTTATAGCCGGCACTACAGCTGCCCCGTAGTGCTGGATGCTAAAGGGGCTGTAGCCTCCCAGCTGCTGCTGCTGCTGCACTTGCTGCTGTGCCTGCTGTGCCTGCTGAGGCTGCTGCTGCTGCTGCTGCTGTTGTTGTTGAGGCGAATGCTGCTGCTGCTGTTGCGGCTGCTGTTGTTGCTGCTGTTGATCGCTGTAGTGGCTGGGACTCAGCTGCTCAGTCTTGACATGCGCTCTCTGCTCGGGACTGCTAATGGCAGGTGGTGGTGGTGGTGGTGATGACAACGTGTGTTGCTGCTGTTGCTGCTGCTGTTGCTGCTGCTGCTTGGACAGCCAGGCGTGTCCATTGATGCTGTAGCCTGTGCCTCCGTAAGAGGCCGCCACGCTCTGGCCGTGGCCGGGGTGACCGTTGGGTGGCAGGTACTGGTCGAATTCGTTGACGTCGAACGATTCCATGTTGGAGATGACCTCCCGACTGAGCTCCCGTATGTCCACGTTGCTGAAATCGATTTGCTGGCGGCCGCCTTCCTGCAGAGGGCGCCCCTCGCGCTTTATATCCAGCTTGTTGGACTGCACGTCCGTCTTGGGGGTCGTGGGAGGCGTGGGTGGGCCCTGGGACTGCCCTGTGAAGGGCACCGCCACCGTACCCAGGGAGAGACACAATTACATTCGATGCCATTTTTGTGGTTCAAACACACGCACGCAAAAGGATCCCACGGTATAGCGTTTAAAAGACTGTTGGGACAAGTGCTGTTCGCAAGCGCATTTGAAGGCCGAGGGGGGGGGGTGGGGGGGTGGTGGCCGACACCATGCCCGGCCGCCTTTGTCTCCCGAGCGGTGATGTTTTACACACCGCACCAGGTAATTATTTGAGGCGGAGTCGACCTCGGGGAGGCCCTAAGTGGCCGGTTCAGATAATCGTCACTGGTGTTGGCCGTGAGCGGGGATAGAATTCGGCTCACCGGTTTCGTAGCGGAGCGCGCTCACCACTACACTATCACTCCCCACGAAAACACACAAACACATACACGTACGTAGTACGCACATAAACAAAGATCCCCCGTATCGCCTTAACAGACTGTTTGGGGCAAGTGCTATTATCGAGCACCAATTAACACCGGGAATGTGCAGAAGGGTGGGGCAGTGGTGGTGGGGGGGGGGGGGTGCAAAACCACCCACGCACGGCCGCCTTTGTCACCCACAAATGTTCACCACATCGCGGCGTGTACCGCTCATCTAAGGCTGCGTCGACAGGCGAGAGCGCCCAACACGCGCGCCGCCGTCGCGACCACCTCCGCGCGTGCAACGCACTGAACCGAGCACTCGCGCGTTCGCAGTAGCGCACGCGCGAGTGCTGCAATGAGATCGACTCGTTAACGGTGTGCGCAGGGGGGTCACTCGGTCGCTTCGCTTCGCTCGCTCGTACCAGAGTGCTCCCCGGGAGAGTGCACGTCCGCGCTGGGTGAGTCCGCTTGAAGCGCCTTGTAAATGGCGTTGGTGGTGATGTGCGTCTGCTCGCCCGACGAGTCGGACTCGCTCTGGCCGTTCTTGCCCGACTTTCTCCGCCTCGGCTGGTACTTGTAGTCGGGGTGGTCCTTCTTGTGCTGAACCCGCAGGCGCTCCGCCTCCTCCACGAACGGACGCTTCTCGTTCTCGCTCAGCAGGCTGCGGTGAGACACGACGGGGGAGTGGGTTTGTGCGCGACACAGAGAGAGCGGTCAACTCGGCGCTTGCACTTTTGGTCGTGGCAAAGGTAAAAATCCGAACACCGGCAGAGTTGTGAAGCGTCCGGCAAGGTGCGCAAAGTAGGTACAACTGGATTTTGGCACTCGGGGAAGAAATATATTTATAAAGATCATAATAGTAATAATAGTCTGCAAATGGTAAATATAGACGGTTGCAATTGCTGTGCAGATATTTAGACTAAGAAGACAATTGCTTCGAGGTGATGAAGCCTTCATTGAGGTGTGTTAAAATCCATCCGTGCGGTTTTGAGTGGTATACATCTGTATATGTTGTGGTGGGCTTTCTCTGGGTGCTCCCGATTCCACCCTCGACCCCCCCCCCCACAAATACACACGAAGCCAAACGATTATTTCTGAAATTGGCCAAAAATCCAGATGCTGGACTCTCATGGGATTGAATATTCTTAATACTCGACAAAGCTCTCCTGGATAAACACGTTGCATTATTATTACAACGATTATCATCGGGTCAACGGGACACAAAAGATAGCTGGATATTTGCTGACACTTGTTTCTAACAAGATCTGATCACAACTATCGAGCAAGTAGAGACAGGGCCCCCCTCATCCCCCCCTCCCCTCCCAACACACACGCCAAGTGCAGCTTGCATCGGAGTTCTTGGTGCCAGGTAGGATTTGCCCCGAGGCTGGAGGCAGACGCACCTGATGGTATCCCAAGCATCTGTGGCGCTCGTCAAGTAATGGTTTACAAGATGTCGTATGCTCAAAGTGAACGCCAAAACAAAACGAACGTCTTGTCGGAGTCTCTCCGTTGAGCATATAGTCGGTGTGGTTTATCCGCAGTAAGAAAGTTTATTAGGATAATTTTCGTGAAATACGAGCGGCGTAACGATAAAAAAATGAGACGGTGGCTGTTAATGTCTATCTGGCGTGCAAGTTGAATCTACAACGTGTTTACTCTAAAAACACGCACGCACGCACGCACGTCACGTCCCACCGACCAGTAATCGACGTAATAAATTGTTGCACGCCGGCACAATAGCAATTGACAACAACAAAAAAGCTGCGCATTGTATGCGTAAGAAGACCCCCAAACGCCCATGCAATGGTGTCGCGCAATGAATAATAATAAACGTTAAAAAATATATCGCAAGTACACTCAAGAAACGGAACACAAACCGAGGCACACAGGCACGCGCAAAGAGCGCCACCAAACAACACGCATCAACTGGCACCCAAGAGGACTGGAGGCGAACTGAACTCGCACACTCACCGCCACAGCTTGCCCAGAGTCTTGCTCAGCTCGGCGTTGTGCAGGTGCGGGTACTGGTCGGCGAGCTTGCGACGCGCCGCCTGCGCCCAGACCATAAACGCGTTCATGGGCCTCTTCACGTGCGGCTTCGACTTGGAGGAGCCGTTCACCCTCACGGGCATGGGCACCAGGGTCCAGTCGTAGCCCTTGAGCACCTGGCTCACGGCCTCGCGGATGCATGCGGGGAACTTGTCGTCCTCGTCCATCTTCTTGCCGGAGCCCGCGTCCCTACCGAGGCCGAATACCACCCCGCCGTCCAGCACCCCTCCCGGGCCGCCGGCGAGCAGGAGACCGCTCGCGCCGGCGCCGTCCTCGCGGTCCGAACAGCGCTTGGAGCCGCAGCTCTGGCTGTCGCTGTCGGAGCCCGCCAGCGAGTCGGCGGGCGAGCCCACGGAACAGTTCTCCGACATGTCTGGGCTGGGCACGTCCGACATGTGCTTGTCGTGCTGCTCGTCTGACATCATTCTTTCGGCGTGCAGCACGCGCGCGCTTTCGAGAGGAGAGCAGAGCCGCAGCGAGCTCGGCGTTCTAAGTCGTCGCTGAGATCTTGCAAACGAAACAAAATCGCCAAATTGAACGGGGGGGGGGGGGGGGGCGATATGCAGCGCTTTTGGTCTGTCAGTCGGAGCGCCCGCCGACGGCAGCGCTGCGTCTGCTTGTATCTCAAGAGTTCTTCTGCCTGTATCGGGGGGTCGCGATGCACCAGATGAGAGGGGACCCTACTTACTAATAAAATGGGAATGGTGCGAGCCGCTTGGTTGAGCACCGCAGCTCCCTCCGCTGTGTGCGTGCGTGCTGTCCGCACGGGAGAGAGAAGCGATTTGAAGGCTCGCTGGAGGGAACGTGGGTATAGGTTCGGCCTCCGCTGGACGCATTCCAACAATCGTGCGCCAAATTCCGGCGCTCGCCTCCAATTGGTCCGAAGTTACGGGGCGGTGCCAAGAGCACTAATAAATATCTCAACTCGAGATGTAAGCCTCCTCCTCTCCCCCCCACCCTCTACTACCTCGCCCACCCCTCCCCTTGCCACACTGGATAAATGATTTTAAAATTGAACTCCACGTGTAAGCTTAGACAGAAAGCGACTTTGTCTCTTTTAAAAGTCAATTGACAGCTACTGTAAATTGGAATGCACAGCCAGTGTGTGTGTGAGAGAGAGAGAATATAAAACGCGCACGAATAATCGCGCTCGCACCACAGATTTGTGTTGCGTTGCGCCCTCTCTCAAGATAACCCCTGCGCGCGTCTGTTCTGAACAGCGCAAGGATGGACGTGCGGAATTGCAGCCAAATGATGGGCGCCCCTCTGCAACATCAATAAGCACGCACCGTCCCCGTTGCTTTGAACACTGCGTTGCACTCTTTTCACGACTCGTCGTGAGGCTATACACTTCGGGGTGCATTGTCCGCGATGATAATAATAATACGCGACCCGTACGTAATGCCGCACCTTCTTATTTCCCGTGTGCCATGGCTTACGAGGCTGCGCGCGAGTGAGTCCCGTTGACCATCAAATGCCGCGCGTAACGAA